GCAGTTATGACCACATCGTATCTCGAATACGGGTTTTGGTACGGGTTATTCTGAGATTTTGATGTATCTTTATTTTTTACAAAATTTACTGCAAAATTAGTCCACATCTTCAATCTAATATTTTTTATGAATATTGTTTTATTTAGTGACATACGATAAATATTAGATAAGTTGATGCTATAAAAGTTCATCTGTATATAAATGAGTTTCTGATAAGGGAAGATTCCATCACCTTTGACCTTTAAAGAAGACTATTCCAGTCTAATGTGAGGAATGTTTCACTGTGTTGGTCTTTACAATCAGACTAATACCTAATCTCTTCTATATAACCCTTTACTTGAATTATACATAGAAGTTCGCGATCAAAAACTTACATTCTCAGAAGTTGTGTCATTCAAAAGTATGTCATCTTGATCATACATGAAATCATGATTGCAAACCTAGGAATGCCTTTTCTTCCAATTTGGATGCGACATCTTGTATGAAAATATTTTGACAGGTAAATAAATCATCTTGGTAGTGGTTATTTGCTACGCTTGGGCAATGATCACAGATGTTTTTTCATTCACTCTCATTGCTTTTTGAATCGTTTATTATACTAAATAATTGCAATGATTTCTGTTCTATAGTATGATTTGGAAGATCATCCTACATATAACTAGGGGCTAATCATCAGAGGAAAAGCCATTCTATTTTCGAGACCAGGGCATTAACTTGGTTACTCTAGAAACCTCTTATCGTGCAACAGAAATGTGAAAAGTTGATATTGAAAATAAAATGTAATCGTCTTATTGCACCTGCTGGGGCTAATGAAGACTGACAACATCATGCAATTGTGGAAATTTTGCAAGGACAACTGCATTAGCTTAATCTTTTGTCCAAGGATCTTTAACACGAAACTAACATGCTGATTTTATAGCCAACAATCCACACTTTGGCTTGATAATTTTCAACGTTTTGGCCACCAAGGTTAAGAAAGGTAAACTTTTACATCAGACAGGTGTATAGCATTCTTTACGACATGTAATAATGGATTGACATTGATTGACAGTTGGTCGGTTTTACTTGGCTTAAAAAACTACCGATAAGATAGCAGACATTATTAGAGTATTAATTTACAATAAAAACAATGTAAAACGGGTTGTTATCAGGTTATGCTAGCATCTTACAGATTACAAATCTCTATAATATTCTACCATTAACCCGTGAAATATTATTTACTACACTGGTAAATCGAAATATTTGGCAAGATCTCTTAACAAAGAATCTTGAGAATTGAAATGCGAATAATGTTAGGTTATCACTCTTTCGACCAGGTTTTACAGCATGGAATTTGGTTATTGATATTATGGCGAATCCTTAGCTTTAATGGTACTTTGACAATGATTATTGATAGCCATAACAATATAAAAATCTCTATTCACCGCATACTAAAAAAATACTATATTAACCCTTTTCTAAATAAGTATAACTTTAGTCACTCTGCAAAAATGTCTTCTTACTTCATTATTATACAACATAGAGTGATGCGGCATTATTTTCATTCCATCATTTACTAATTATTGAGCTTTCACTTAACGATAACTCTATAGACCTTCTACTATTTGATAACTCTATTGGCCTTCTACTGTTTACAATTTCTATTGACCTTCTATTATATTAAAACTATAGACCTTATTCACTATGATAACTATATTGACCTTCTATTAAACAATAACTCTATAGACCTTCTACACAATGATAACTATATTGACTTTCTATTAAACAATAACTCTATAGACCTTCTACACAATGATAACTATATTGACTTTCTATTAAACAATAACTCTATAGACCTTCTACACAATGATAACTATATTGACCTTCTATTAAACAATTACTCTATAGACCTTCTACACAATGATAACTATATTGACTTTCTATTAAACAATAACTCTATAGACCTTCTACACAATGATAACTATATTGACCTTCTATTAAACTATTACTCTATAGACCTTCTACACAATGATAACTATATTGACTTTCTATTAAACAATAACTCTATAGACCTTCTACACAATGATAACTATATTGACTTTCTATTAAACAATAACTCTATAAACCTTCTACACAATGATAACTATATTGACCTTCTATTAAACAATAACTCTATACATTCTACTGAATAATTACTCTATTTGCCATTTACTATAACTCTTTTTTTTACCTTTTTTATAACTCTATTAGCCCTATACTGAATGGTTACTTCTACTGAATTTATTCAATTTTTACTAAATTTATTATAACTCTATTTTATAACTCTATTGCCCTTTTATGGAAATGATAACAGTATTGGCCTTTTTTGAAAACTCTACTGACCTACTACGAAAGAAACATCAAACAACTTTGTTCATCATTTCTTTTTCAAAAAACAGCTCAAAACAGTAGGATATGGAGTTCATTTATCATTCTACCTTTAAATAATGCGAATTGAGTTATGATAATGATTATTTCTGCACTCTACAGCCTCTTTTTAAAATGATACCTTTTCTTTCATGGAACGCAGTCTAACACATATATATATATATCTTTAATAAACCCATGTGAAGTAGGATATTTTTAATGCATGTATCTAATCTTTCTACACATTTATCTATAAAACTGATAGTAAATATGAATATAAGACATTTACAAATAACTTTGGCACATACAAATAATATAGTTCCTTATTTATTATGTCTTCGTTATGATACTGTTTGTTGTTAAGTAAACAATATATTGAATCTCAACCAAATTTCAAATAACCAGACGTCAGATTGCGAAAAATTCAGGACAGATCTAAATCAATTTAGTGGTATTTTATGCTATTGTTTCGGTAGTTAGTAAGATATTTTCTACATCCATTTGTATGTGTTATACGTCGACATGTTGGCACAAAGCATAGACCCGTACCAGTCTGTACAATCCTACTAACAGCAACATTTTTTATTTCCTCCTGAAAATAGCAATGCTGTCATGTATTTACTCGCCAACCAAGCCATGGCATCTTCACAATGATGTCTTCATCGTATACCTTGACTGCAATGGTCAGCGATTTGATTCAACGCAAGCGAAAAACAGCCAACCAGAGCCCTCGATTTCATGCCCAATCATATTTCAGTTGATAAGCTATATTTGCTAGTGTTTCCGGGAACGAAAAATGGGTCATTACAGTCAAGGTTTAAGATGAAGACGCACCATGGAGGACATACAGGTTTCTTTCCGGTGGAAAGGTACCAAGCTATAGGGTTTGTTTCTTTTGGGGCGCGATTGGAATATGAAAGAGCAACCACGTCCGTCTACTGTCTGAGCAGAAAATTCTCCATCTCGACTAAATTATTGTGTTCATTTTCAAACAGAAGTCAGTTGGTATAACCTGTCAGTCATTATAACTATGATTATGGAAGATTATAAAACAAACGTTGAATGTGATGATGTGATGAAATGTTAAATCTGAAATCATCACTTATCTTGAAGGGGTATGTGTGATATAACTTATATCTGACAACGCGCAATCAGGGTTTAAAAAAATATTGAGCATAGATTACCAAATTGATTGTCAAAGTTGAATTCCGATTAGGTTCATCAAATTCCATTTAATTTTCGAAGAAATATTTTTTCTTTTAAAATTTGTGATTACAGTGTAAGTTAGTACGAAAACTTTCAGGCCTGTTGAGGAAAAGTTCAGTAATGGGGCATATCATAGCAAACATTTGAGGTAATTATCTGATTATGAAACGACTAAGTTTATCAATAGTTTACACTGAGACTCTACAGGTGTAAGAAGCTGGGAAATTGCCGACATTTTTTCTTTCAAGTGTTAAATGCTTTGTTTCAGCTTCCATTCTGATGTTTATTTTAGTTGAAGGTTGTTGATAAATAGATTTCGTTTCGTGCAGTTTACTATTACACCATTTAACACTTTCATGATTTTAAAGTTTCGAAGCTCTTGTACTGAACTTCGTTTTAGTCAAATATGGCTGATAGTAAAACATTTTAAGTTCGTCATTTGTTTTTTCAAATTGACTTGTTTTTAATAAGTATGGCAGTAGATTCTAGAGAACATCAGCGCTCAACAGTTTGCACTTCGCTGCAACGACAGTAATTCGCCGACCTAGAATTCCAATTGTCAAAAGGAGAAACTGGATTGGAATATTCACGTGCACCATCCTGGCCATAAATATCCCCATCTTTTTATCCGTTTATAGTTAAATGTCAGGATTTCACCGAGTTGCTAACCATAGTATTTGGAAACAACATGCCTTTTCCTATTTCCATTGAAGCTAAATTTGGTATAATTTTGGAATATCCAGGTTGGTTTAAAATAGACAATGACAACAATGCCCATTCTGAAAGATATGATGTATGTGACCTTCCTGTTTTGCAATTGATATCTTACTATTACGTTATTTCAGTACTATTTTGGTGTCTAATTTGGCCAGTGGTCGTCCTGTAGGCGGTTTACGATACACTTACTAATTAGACCTAAAGTGACCTTGCACTAACCTTCTTTTACTATAAATATCATGACATTTTTAACAAAGAATGGGTAAATACATTTTGTGACCCGATATTTCTAATTCAAGCCATTGTCTTTGGTACCAAATTAAATATATTTGGAAATAGTTATGAAAATAATGGCATTTGTCAAAACAGTTCTTGACAAATGCATTTAATGTTGTTATGGGATGGTTTCAAATTGACTTTCTCGTTAGATTTTCAATGTCTTTTTTCGCCAAAGCATGCGCTTTAGTTTCTATACCCGTCAGAGTATCTAAAAGTTAAAATGCAAATCAAATAAAAAGAATTGGCTTTGTGAACTCTCCGATAAGCATACAATCGTGAGAAATCTAGTCGCATCGTGAATTCAGGTGTACGTATTCATTGCGGTTGGGAGCATTTGGCTTAACTTGATGCAAAATAAAGATCCATTACAATAATGAAATGTTTTCTATCCTCAATTTATATTCTACTTTCAGGTGGTAATACTGGGTTGGGTAAATCTACTGCTACAGATTTAGCTAAACGAGGCGCTAGAGTTGTACTGGGATGTCGAGATAAAGTGAAGGGAGAGGCTGTAGCTAGATCTATCAGAAAGAAGGTTAACAATCAGAATGTTACATGTTTGAAGTTAGATTTGGCCAATCAGCGTTCAATAAGAGATTTTGTGACAGAGTTTAATGAGAAGGAGAGAGAATTGAGCGTACTCATCAACAATGCGGGTAGGTGATCGGCATTAATTTAACGTCTAATCGATGTTAGAACGATTTTATTTTTCAAATTTCTTAAGACTTCTTCTGCATATTGAATGTAAATGCTTTCCCTCAGAACTATCTCCAGATGTGGGATAACCATCTTCACAATGGTACAGGTATTACTTATACCTTGACTGCAATGACACTCTTTCTTGTTTCAATGTCAGCCAATCTGAGTCCTCGACAGTAAAAAGTAATTACGCCTGAAACCAAGGGCGGCTCAGATGGGTTATATTCCATGGAACAAGAAAGTGGGCCATTGAAGTCAAGGAATAAGATGAAGACGTAATACATTGACCGTTGTGAAGGTTTTAATCATATAGGCCTATGTAAGAAAACAAGTTGAAATTCAGATTGAAATTGATAATGTTGATTCAAACCCTGACTCTAGCCTTTAAATAATCACAAACAATTCGGCAAAGGAATTAGACACCCAATTGTTTTAACATAGTCAATATATTTGTCTGTAATATTGGCTCCAAGATGAGTTTCCATATATAAGATTTGTGATACAAAAGACGATGATAACCGAACATGACCTTCTCATAATATGATAGAATCATGAAAATATGCTACCTTTTGGATAAACAATGACCTGAATCTGTTGAAATTCAAATGGTTGCCAATATTATTGCATTTTAGAAAGTGCCAAATATCTGCAATGCGTTTGTATATAATAAAGTACAGTAGAACTGTAATATTCAAGATGGTGCAATTATAACCAATGCATGCCTCAATTTTCAAAACATACTTTGTGGATTGTGTCCTGTTTTGCAACGTATTCGTTCCCATGTTCACTTGAAACTATATTCTACAAAATCATGCACCTGCAACAGAAAAATACTAAAATTCTACACATATTTTTGAGATCCAAATGCTACGCCGAGTTAGTGAAGGTCGTGAAGATATAGAGGACGGAAAATCTGAAGATACAATCATGTTATCTAACCATAGTCGAGCAGGGCATTTACTGCGTAAAGTATCTGGGTTCAAATCGTTAGTCACGAAACTTAAGTTAATTAGGTATTTTAGGCTGTAACCTTGCGGTTGGTTAGGTGATACCACTGGAAACAAGCAAACCACTGGTAGCAATAGGTGGAAATTCTGACACCCCATTCATATTGGTTCAAACCTATCCAAATCAAAACAAATATATTTTCAAAATGTGTTTTCTGTTCTTGGTGGTTTTCCATAATACAGAACAGGTTTTTCCAGAGATAGCTACTATCGTGCTAAAGACAAATGTTTGTTATTCCACCTGCAAGTAGATACAGGAAGAAAATAACCGAAGTAAACTACAAATAGCAGTGATATTTGCTGTATATTTTAATGATAACAATACCAGATGATACCGGACATCAGTTTATTGCAATTTTTGTCAAGAAGTTGTGGTTTAACACGATTAGTTAAGAGCAATTAGCGTTCTGAAAATGGATTTTCGACATTTTCAGTCAATACCTCTAAAATAAATCATTTCTAACGTCACCGTAGGTGTTGGTCTACAGGTAACACTTTAATTTGACTATAAATCGTCTGTTCTAAAGTAAGGAAATACGATAAGTTTAAAGTCCAAAATAAAACGTCCAACAATTGTGAAAATTGTCTTATTTATTGGGGGAATTTTTTTGCAAATGAGGATTACATTTTCTTTAGGAACTGATTTTGTCCGTCAATCGTGATCTTTTAGGCTTAAATGAGTAGAGGGTTTGTGTTTTGGGCACCCTGTTATAGATTGATTGATTCCATTGCTCCTTATTTCGCGATGGGGCAATTGAGTTTTAATCAGAGATGTTCTGCAGAAACCAAGAGAAAGATACAACGATTTGGTATTTTGCAACAAAATTGAATTCATGAAATACATAAAAAAAACGTGTGCCTAAAATTACAATATTAGAAATTTTATGTTATTGTAGAATGTAACACCCAATCCAAAAGTGACGAAAACATGAGATGATGTGCTATACTAGGACGGTTTCGCGGTTTTTACCTATTGCTTTTGTGGTTATTTCAACCCGTTATTATTGTTATCAGTAATAGGAAGACCTGGCTAGTTCCTAAAATATCATGATATTTGTGCCAGATGAAGTCAGATAAAGGCAATACAAGAATCGGCAGGAGAGCTTCCGTGGTTCATATAGCCGCCACGATGACTCACTATCTAGTCTATATATAAAAATAAAAGTAATGGAAATATAAACAGCGCTACTGATATATTTTCTGACATAACAAATCAACTAGTCTTTTTCTCTCTGCTCAATTTCAGAGGTTAAGAAAAAGGTCCCTTTTTATGATTACTGAAAGAAATTATAACCCATGTGAATTGTGAATTGTATTATAAAAGTGCAATGTAAATGTAGTAGAAATGAAACAATCAATGTATATTGCCACTGACATGAGCAAGAGTACTGGGTGGATGTAAGAAACAAGATCAAAATATGAGTCCGCGGTCCGCTAGACACAGTGCGCCACCAGGGTTGCTTCATTATTTTTATTTCAAGCGGCATCTCCTACACACTGGCATGTTTGGAATCATGTCATTCATACATTTTGAAAGCGTATCTTTTTATCACGAGTCCTAACAATATTAAGGATACAAATACTTTTCGGGGATAGTGTATTCTAGTGGCTATAATCTACAAAAGTTATCTAAACAACAAGGTGGGAAAAAAACTTGCAAAACGTAAAAAAACTTTTTCAACTTAGATTTACCAGTATTTGAATTGTTTTTCAGCTTATATGGGTCCTAAAAGCAGTACTAGTGAGGGCATAGAACGATGCTTCGGTGTGAACTATTTGGGGCATTTCTATTTGACATGGTTACTTCAAGATAAGCTAAGGAAATCTGCTCCGTCCAGAATCATTAACGTTACATCAGATTGCTATGCCCAGGGTAAACTGGACTTTGATGATCTAGCTATGACCAAGAGCTACACCATGTATGGAGCTTACTGTAGAAGCAAACTGGCCATGCTAATCTTTACCCAAGAATGTCATCGTCACTTCTTCTCTGGAATTATCTTTAGCTATGCTGTTCATCCTGGTAAGTAATCATACCAAGTTCACCTCTCAGTACAAGAACAAAGTCAAGCTTGATTAAGGTATTTTTGACTCTAATAAAATTACTCCGTTCGCTAACCATAATCTGATAGAATAGATACAATTCACAAACAATTAGAAAGTTCTTTAGTTGAAAATCGAAAACAAAGGAAGACAAGTTATTCCTGCTATGTTGTTGACAAAGCTTAAACAACGGTACAATGAGTATCCATATCTAGCTAGATGGATAATCATCGTACCGTTGCTAAACGAAAAATGGTTGACATAATAAAGAAAATTAAACTATACACCTTACGTCACATAAAAATGAAAAACATGTATATGTTAAAGGAAAGTACATTTATTTTTATAACAAGGTACATAATATATTAAATTCCAAGATATAAGCAATTGTTTTGTTTTCTTATTTTTCTAGGCGCGTGTAGTACCGATCTCCTTAGAAACTGGCCTGGGCTTACTGGTAACATCTTGAGAGCAGCTGCCAGAGTCCTCTTCAAAACACCAGAACAAGGCGCTCAGACCATTGTTCATTGTGCCATCGACGACAAAATCCGAGGACATTCCGGAAAATTGTTCGCTAACTGCCGCCAAATTAAGGTGCAAGATTTTGTTAGAGACAAAGAATTGGGCAAAAAACTCTGGAACGTCAGTCTCCATCTCTGTGGTCTTGATCACGAAATCATTGAAGATCCAGAGCCCGATGTAGCAGCTGCTTCAGCTTCCGAAGTTCCTGATGGTGCTACTGCCGCTGCTCGCGAGGCTGAGAAACCAAGTGAAGTCAAGCCTTCCAAGCTATCAGCACCTGCTCCCCAAGCACAGCCAGCAGCCCAGGCTGGAGAATAAGCCATTACTGTGCCAAGCGTGTTGATGGAAATTAGAAGATTTAGCAATAAGGATGCTTATGGCAAAGCTGTAGATGAAGCCTCGGGCTTTACTCAAGTACTTGAAATTCGCTTGCTGAGTGAAACTAAGAATAGTGATGTTTTGTTTCTAGATATAGTTCTGATAAAATTGTGTTCAAATAACAATTTTTTCTGAGTGAAACATATATTTAAGTGTGTCAAGTTCATCTTTCGTTGGGTTATGTTTGTTGCCAGTCATATCATTTTTAGAAATGGACTTGGACTTAGTGGATAAAGATACCCTTCTCCGAAACATGTGTGGTCCTTATCGTCGGAATATGGTTTTGTTTTAAATACTATTCCGCCAATATTAAAAGGGATTCTAGAAAGTGGGTGATCTGATTGTAACTGTCATGGTTTGGGTCAGTTACATGAAATAAACCAGAGTACGTCTGTACCTATTATTGTCGGAACAGAATATCTTTAAAGTGTCGTCATTTCGTCTAACAACCGTTTCAGGTCAGATGTAAAGTACCATTTGAATTAAATGTCATACAATAAATTCATGATCTGGTTTCTAAAAAGTGACTTAAGACCGGTTTTACTCCCAATATTCGGATCAATTAACCGAACTAAAACTAAATATTTTGTGGCGAAGAAGTGTGCTTTTATTATCGTTGGATTAGACCCTTCCGTTGATTTTTTCAGCAAACTGTACATAATGTTAGATAATTATGTAATGAGTGCGATTTAGTGACATAGAGTAGTTTTTCTTTGTTTATTTTTAACATTAACTATGCGAATTCATATCCCATATTTGACAGGTTTTAAAAGTGAGTGCAATTGTTCTAAATATTGTCCTATGTAACAGGCTGTGATGTATTTAAAATGCAATATAATTATATCTTTTAACTGAATCAGAAAGTTTCGCATGAATGGAACGTTGGAGTTCGAGTTTTATATTTAATTGGGTCAGTGCAATGAAAATGTTTGCATGGAACAAAATGATAACAATACAATCACTTATAGAAGCGAAAGATAGTAATACCGTTGCTTAAAAGAAGACTCAAACAGTTTCCTTTGAAGGAACATATCGGCGGTATTTTCTTTATAGTATGTATATTTGTCCAGTATTTTGTTAAGATTTATTATATAAGCAATGATATCTTATTCCTTAACCTATGCAACATGAGTTTATTAGTGAAGCTTAATGATTGGGTGACAAGTTCTGTTTGATTCCTGATCAAACCCATGCGCGGATTTCAGTTTCGTTTTGTTTGAAGGCCCGACGTTAATATGACAATTGTAAAATATTCCACCGGAATTTGAAGCGACAATGATTTTTGAATGTCAAGTCTATGTTGAGATCATTTCCAAGTAAAATATAAGCACCTTTGTACCTATAACATAATATTGTATTATAACATATCACAAGGTTGAGATGATTGTATTGCCCGTTACATGAAATAAACATTAAAATATATCTTTTTTTTTATTTCCAGCACTTCCAATAACAGTCTTTAGGGGAAGATAAATTCTATGCATGGAACCCTTCTTTTCCATTAAATGGACAGGCTATCCATCCTTTTGACCAATCGATTTGTTTTAGCTAAGCTAATAAGTAATAGTATTAACATGTATTCAAGGCCCAAATCAACCAAAATCGGGAACATGTTTCTTTAAATTGTAAGGACACAGTTGTGTGGAATACAGACGCACGGGGATACACAAAAGCGTTATGGACATATAAAACATTTTTCACAGAGATCTGGACAAAAAGCTACCGACTGAGTCTTAGCTCATAACATCAGCATGGTTCACTGGCTTTCCCTTCGAAACCAAATGTTATATTCTGTAATCTTACGAAATTTCGTCTCGTTCCGACATTGAAACAACAGACACGAACTAAGATGGCCACCATTTAATTCACTACTCTAGACAAAATCGGTTTATTTTTATTTAAGAGTTAAATGTTTCAAAATAAAAAAATTTGAATGATAAGAAGAAGACACCTGTATCATGTTTCCTATGACGTCTTTTCTGGTTAAGATTTGCATTACCAACAAGAATATATGGCAAGGGAGACAACTACCAGTTGTTAGTATTACATTCAACACGACCAATTTCCTGTCTTTGATAAGGGGGTATAGATTATATGATCTTGAAGACACCCGCCATGTACTATTCCTGTGGTATTCACTGATGATAGGCATCAACTCTATCAAACCCACCTTTCTTCATCTAATGGGCAAATGAAACGCAATGTAGTGTGCAATGAGGGAAAATTTTCTGGGAAAGCAGCACAAGCCTACTTGTTTTTCTATATCCAACTGTCGAGGGTGTTTATGGTGCACAGCCTGTTGCATACTGGGCCTCAGTTTATTGTCCCATTCAAACGACTAGGCACTTTTCCATGCTGGTCCGGCCTATCTGTGTCACTGGAGAAGGAAACCAGGAAAATAACCAGTTTCTTCATTATTTACATTCATTTATTCATAATGCAGAATAAATTCAAACATAAAACATCAGGAAGATTGCTTTCAAATTATTGTCTTTAACAGAAATGATTTATCAAGTTCATAAAGTCTTTATAGCACTGCTTTAATTGAAACATTCCAAACATTTTATCATAATGAATGAAAACTCAGTAACAGGAAAATATCTGAATGTCTTCATAACCTGGAAAGAAATGAAACTCAATGAAATGTTGTCACCATACAGAAGCATACCAAGTTGCCTCACGACAAAGAGAATTTGATATATTTTTGCTGGAGTAACTTTTAACTTAATCATTCTCTATATCTGATTGGTTTAAATAATCAATTAATCAATTTAGTTTTATTAACCATTTAGATTACATTGTTTCTTCCAAACTGGTTGGTTCAAGACATGTTTTATTACAAATGGTCTGATTTTAAATAAAGGAAAGGTGACATTTATAAAGTGTGCAGATATATTGGTTTCAGAACAGTTTATCAGGAATAACTGGGAAACAGACAGGGTTGATAACGATTACTGGAAAGAGTCTCTGAACCATGGGATCAGAAACAGTTTCTGGAGATTCAACCTATGATTACTAAATTAATTGTTACCATATGCTCCCAACTACTGCCAAGATGAGGCAGCGATGGTGAATACTTTACAGAGAATAGAACAGAGACACTTACTTTTTCACTATCTGAACTACATCTTCATCTTGTAAAATATGAGTTTTACCAACTTTCTGAGGCTGATGTTTAACTGATGAACCCCAAACTAGAGCACTAGAAAAAATGAAAAACAATTAAATTTGGTTGAAGTTTAATATTGAAATTCTGATCAGCGAGTGTAAATATTTTGATGATGGAGTTTACATTTTACACAAACATCAAGGGCATAAGAAAAAAAAGGGAAACCACTAAGTTTACAACGATAACAAAGGTTCACAAAGGATCCTTTCTACCATCTGGTCCTTGGTATCGATTGTCTATTTACAACTAGTTGGATGACTTAAATCCATTCGCATGCTGACCGAGATCGAAACCCACAGCCACAATTTGTTCAATGTAATTAAACAAATGACATGTCACACTCTAAGAGACTGTGCTACAAAATCTTAAAACTTGTGCTGTGTAAAAATGGCGTAGCATACAATTTCAACTACTTCTGATAATTTTAGTTTAAGTTTATTTTTAAAATTTCATTTATCTATGAATTTTGGAATAAATGAACTTACTATTTAAATTCTTTCATGATACTTCTATGTAGTTTATTGGCGAAATCTTCTATAGTAGTTTTTCCTTCTCTCAAAACAACAGGAGCTGTATAATCTGGTAACTGTCCTTTAGGTTTTGTATATCTACAATCGATATCAGATATATATAATACCAATAAGATATTTTCACTATTAAATTAGAGCAGAACAGATCATGAAACACATTCAACCCGGTTTGAAATTGATCATTTGACTTTTTGAAACTTCTTTTTTATCACAGCTGTAAATCACTCTTAAATGATTTCAGAAGTTTTCAGGTTCTGTTTTAATATTTCTAACCCTTTTAACACTGAAAACAGAATGCAATAATAAAACTTGGAAAAAAAAATTAGAACAGCATTATAAAACTTACATTCTAACTAAAGCTAAATATTCCCACATTTTCTCTAATAAATCATCAAAATTCCACTTATGATGAGCTGATATAGGTACACAGTGAGGTACTTTATAAACTAGATCTAATTCCTGTAATTATATTTTAAAATTAATTTACTTTATTTATTGTGTACAAAACATTTATATCTACAGTTACAAGTAGGCATAAATTGTTACTTTCTGTTTACTTCGTAGGTGAATCAAAATTTACAGACTTATATTTATGTGAGTTGGAATAACAGCTTCAAAATAATACTGATATAAAATATGTATTGCAAAAAACAGGAAAAGTGGGGGTACCCAAGTTCAGATTGAATGTATGTATTGTCAAAAATGTCAAGTATGTAAAATTTCATTGATTGTTATGAGAATTGGAATATCAGCATGTATGTCTTTCGTTGATCAAAATGTAAACACATTTTTGCTTTGCCACAGGGGGCAATTTTCAGCAAATATTCAAATTAAATTTTCAATAATCAGTGATATCCATTTACCAACAGTTGATATTAACCTTACCTCAATAGAAATTTGGTCAATTTTATTAAGAATATAAATACATGGTATATAGACTCTGTTTCCTTCAATAACATCAATAAGATCTTCAGCTGTAGCATCAATACGTAATGTAATATCAGCATTAGATATTCTGTATTCATTTAATATAGTCTTTACTAGGTCATTATCTAACTCAGATTGAGCCACCTGAAATTACCAAATCAAGTCAAATGTTATTGAATTGAAATTGAATTATACAGCTAAGCTTGGGCAAGAGTGTGCAATGTAGGGAATTTCACCTACTCTTCTAAGGGGAAGGATCTTTAACATAGCAATACATAGAGCCTTGGCTTATTGAGAAAGGGAAACAGGTTGAAAAAATCTGAGGGTGGTACATGCTTAATAGATGTTACTGGGCAACATTCAGTGATTGAAAACTTAGTAACTGCACATAAATTGATAAATATGATAATTGATTTGGAGTAAATAAGTCAAGAAACCAACTTCTCACGTCTACATTGACGCCTAGAGTTTACTTGTAGGTCTTTGGTTTGTTTTAGAAAAAAGTTTCAGTAATAACTACATATTAATAAGTTAATAAGCTTAATGATTGTAAATAAAGCAGGACGACTTACAGTAGATGTCAAGTTTAAACCACCCTTATCTTTTCTTTTAAATACAATATTAGGTGGTGTTTTATTCAGTCGTATACCAAACCCTTCTAATTCTTTTTCTATTAAATGTTTATGTTGTAATGGTTTTAATACATCTAACACAATATAGATTAAACTGCAAGTTCTAGCAACTGAAATATAAAACATACTGATACTTTACATGAGCAATATTTATGACTGGCAGAATCTATGGGCAGCTGGTCTTGCCATGATTTTAAGCACTGAATTTAGTATTTTGTACATAATATAGTAATTCTCCATTGCTAGCACTAGTCTTCATTTGAATGCAATAACAGTATGTGCTTTTATGATTTCTACATCCAAGATTTTAAGAACACTATGAAGCCTCATTACCTGCTATAACCTGTTTACCACGACCTTTACCATCTTTAGCACCTTCAATAATACCTGGTAAATCTAGTAACTGAAAGAAAAATTTACACTTTAAAGAGTCAGTAATAATTTGGTATATCAGATCAACAATAACACTTTTCATTATAGGATTAATTATAAAATATCAAAGTTAAGACCATAATATTTTGACTTTATAATTATAGACATTGTTTTTCAGGGCCACCCAATATACAAAAGTATATTGCTAAATTCAGGCAGATAAATTTGCAATTTCTGTTAGGCTTAAAATGTGATTCAAATTCTTTCCATATTTCATAAAATTCATGCTTACTACACAATGGTCATTCGGAGGTAATAAGATCTGTTTACCTGAACTTTGGCACCTTTATATCTAATCACACCAGGTACTGTAGTTAAAGTAGTAAATTCATAGGCAGCTACTTCAGAATATACACCAGCTAAATTACTTAATAATGTTGATTTACCAACTGATGGGAAACCTGAAATAAAAATAAGCTTTTAACAGATACTGGTCAATATGCTGGTCAAAGCTTAACAAAGCCTGACCTGACCTAATCAAAAAATAAAATACTTCACAATAGAAAACACCTGTAATTCATTCATGGTAGACAAATTAAATGCCATAATAATAACAATATACGCATAACAGTTCTAAATATATTCTACCTAAAATTGTAAATCCTTTGATATCCTGGGTATCTAATCTCTGTAAATATGGAGAAGCTATCTTAGTGGATTGGGTGGGCAAAAGGTGCCTTCTCTATTTCTTTAACACTTGACTTATCTGTTATCTCTTGAAGACTTCAATTATACAGAATAGATACTGGCTCATGGACTCAATTTCTGTTTAAGGTTTTAAAAGTTTGACAGTTGTATTATGGTTTGGATCCGATTTATATAAATGTCATTTCCTCCTTAGTTCAAAATAATCAAACTTACCAACAAATCCAATCCTAGCATCTCCAGTTTTGGCTACATCAAAACCTTCTCCTGCACCACCTCCACCACCACCTTTAGGTTCAATCAATTCTCGACGGAATTTAGCCAACTTGGCTTTTAACATACCAAGATGGCCACTAGTTGCTTTATTCTTCTGAGTACGAGCCATCTGCAAATCAATTATAACAGCGATAAGAAAAGACACAAATCGTTTTAGAGGTTAATACACTTATATTTTTTTAAGGTCAATTAGTAAAAGGCAGTTTTTAAAGCATCTCAATGGGACATATTCTTCTTTGATTTTTTTACTTAGCTGCAATTCAGCTATCTGTACCAAATTTCAGATCTAATGCCCTTTCCAGGATGTTATGATCAGCTTCATGCATTGATATTATTCCAAATATCACGTCACAAGACATAACTGTCTATCAGAGTAATGAAGTGCTGTGACAAATTCGATGTAAAATTTAAATTGTTGAATTGCAAAAGAATCAGATAACAAATTTTAAGTCAGAACTGGGATAAAGGTGGCTGAAATTTGTTGCTATCAGCTGGCAAGACAACTATATCGCTTAACCCTTGTTAAAAGATGCTAAGATTAAGTCAATTTATTTATTTCTTTTCTGTTGGCATCTATCATGTATATTATGTAGTAAGCGTATCAAAATAAAGATTACATTTCTCAAGAAAATTAGGCTTTTATATGTATAAAATAACAAGGTTGGTAACAGATGCATTTATCCAACAATATGTCTGCATTACTAGAATCTCCAAACCAATAAATCATAATTACAGCACAGGCATGCATAGCAGCTATTTCTTAGATGAGGTAAATGAAAAAACTTTCTGAATACCGGTACCCTTTTACCCAATTTACTTTTAAAAATTGTCTGTGAATAAGTCTGACTATTATATTTTTAACCTAGAATTTAAAAATTTGTATGCAATGTATTTGCATTATTTTATTTTTTATGTTTACTAATAAGCCAGTTCGGAATTATGTGTGGGTATGCCCAACAAACCAATTCTCTATGATAAACAACGTTGATTTAATATGGGGTGTGTTTCAAAAGTGGTCACACCTATTCCTGATATTTTTTATGCCTACATTTTTCATGATTTTGGTTGTTTATTACTGAAGAATATGTTTATTAATGAACTTCAATTAAATTACAGGAAAAAAATCTCATGCAACCGAGATACAAACAAATTACTTAATGTGTCTGGCACTGTTTTAGTGTCAGATGGAAATGGTTAGAGGGTGGCATGCTAAGAAATATATCAAAAGATTTTTTTTTTTATAAAATTCATTTTGCGTCAGATATATCTAAGTTATCTTTATCATATCAAAAATTTGTGTTTCCAAATATTTTTCTTTGAAAACTCAAAATGGAAGTGTAATTTCAGAAATTTGTTTCCAACTGCAATAAGGTTCAGTTCACTGATTGCATAGAGGTTTTCTAAAAATATTGTGTAGCGGGGACACTGATAGCATCAATTTGTACCATTTCAATTTTCAATCAGACATCTGTTGTTCCTGTAATTCCACTTAAATAAAATGACCTCACTAATCGCAAAATATGCTTTATCACATAAGGCCCTTCGCGATTAGTCGCATCATTTAACAATTATTTTTAATAGGATTGCAGGAAGCAAAAACATCTGACTGATAATTGGATTGGTACAAATTGATGCTTTCAATATCAAAGATACATTAGCGTGATGCGCATGAACACGTGAAGTTCCAAACTGGCTTATTGGGACTTGCAGCACTCAGTACGAAACAGCACTAATAGTCGATTTGGCTTTGATGAATATTTTGGAATATACACATTAAACTTTTTTGCATTCAAATGCATTCATATTTCCCTAAAATACAGTTCTTGTAGTTTTAAGGGGTAGTGAATTACCTCCCTTTGTAGCGTTTGTTTACATCTTGAGAAAGATTGTCTAATAAATAAAACAGAAAGTCTAACCTCAGCTTCGATTTCGGCAATTTTTTGAAGAACAGACATGGTTTTTGATATTGTTCAACCAACAAAATTAGATATGTTGTCTTAAGATTTGCTAAAATAAGTAAAATATTACAGAAATTATTGAAATGTTGTCGAACATGCCGACCGGAAGTTATCATACACCACGTGACTAATAGGTTAACCCGGAAGCAGAAAGTTTCGTCAGGAGAACAAAAAAACTGCAACAATATTAAGGTGATTGGGCTTTTTTTTAGTGAGAAATAAAGCTGTTAATCCAAATTGATCCCCTATTTCCCTATGATCAGACAATTCGAAAGTTTTCCATTAAATTCTCACGAGGATGAATTTTTTTGGCAATTTGCGCATGCGTTCATCCGGGGTGTTTAGCTTTCTTCTCAAAATTGTCCAGCCATTCAAATATATTGTAGCTTTCGTTTACTGTTTGTAAAATGTTTATACTCTAATTTCGTAGCTTCCTAAGTGTTTATTTATGATATCTATTTTATTGTATATTTTCATAGCTTATTTTCCGTATCTTCCAAAGTAATTTGAGGCAATTTATAACCGAACTAAAACCTGACTTGAAAGGTAAAGTATTCCTGCCTGATCACTCATTCAATTCATTCCAACTTTTAACTGAAGTCAGTAACACAAATGATAATGACTTTAAAAAACAAAACAATTGGAGGTATCAAACACATGATTATGATGATCTAGATGCATTAATGGTTCAAGTGTAGAGCAGGATGTAACATGGAGCACTGTAACTGTAGTGCATTGTGCCAACTGATGATTGTTTTCATAATCATAAATAGCAAAACTATGTCTTGCTCATTGGCCTAAGTCTGAAGTTGTTGTTCTTTAGGTCTAACAATGTTGGTTTATAACATCTACACAATGATGGGACCTAGTGAACATGAAGATGAATTCAAAATCCTTTCTTTGATTCATTTAAATCAGAAAGATTTAATATTCCATTGTCTTTCACAGTGTCTAAGTGAGGTGGATAGCAGTGCCAGTCTACTGCTTTCTCAATCTCCACACCAATGATTTTATTATAAGTTTGCACATATTTTATTTAATCTTATTGACTTCAACTCCAATTGCACGTGGTCTATTTCCATCACATTGTGTACACAAATTTTACTAATCTATATAAGTTGATTAATTAAATCCTTAATTATCTCTTTAATTGAACATCACGTAGGTGTTAAGAAAACATTTCACAACTGCTGGTTGTTAGTGTCCAGTAAGAAATGGACAAGTGTGTGCTTAATGAATTAGGTTTCTAATACAGTACAATTTACAACTTAAAGAAAGTAAAGAAGATTATGGGTCTTAATCTTTAGTGCTTTTCTTGTTCATTTTATTGCCAGGTATTATGATCTGAAGTTTAACAAAATGAGAAGTGAAGTGATTTATTTATCAGCTCTCTGTTTTATGTCTTCACAAAATCTCAAGATCAAACTTATTTGTCATTTGTGTTTTATTGTGCAATTTTGATTTGAATTTCATGTGACTGAAAGTAGTGGCATGTTACAGAATAGATAACATGTTCAGATTTATCATACAATGCTGGTTTGAATTTCTGAGAAATCAAATGAAGATCCATAAATGACAGACTTAAGTTGCAATCAGAAATATGTATGTCAAAATGTTGGTCTCAAAGTAAAACTACTCTTCTATTAACTTGTTTTCTTTCCTTTTGTTGGTTACTCTTTTCATCTGTTATGGAATATCAATAGCCTTCACAAACATCTTCCATGCGTACAACAAAAACTCCTTAGACTTATTGGGAGACTGTTTACTGGCCTGACTTCAGGTACTTTCAAAGTGTGAAAAAGAGACATTCGCCATTTTCGTGAATTGTTTGTGTCTTGAATTTTCAAAAATAGTCTTCAGAATTTACTAAATGTGTACAGAAATCGCATAATTCCTTCAAGAATACCTCACTTTCATTTCTTATTTATATGACAGAGTCGTGACATTCCCGTTTCTGAGGCAAAGCTATGATTGGTCAAACGAATGACGAACCTGTACCTTCACAGTTCACTAAAATGGTTAATTGAACTTTGAAAATCGTCAAGCTTATATGTTATTACCTGTTAATTGTAATCTTTCTATTTACTAGAATGGAGCGTGAAAGTGGTCGTGAATCTGGTAGAGAGAGTGCTGGTAGTAGTAGTGTTGATGATGAAGTAAGGAATGAACCTTTAAGGAAAGACACTCCTGGACCAATGCCATTGCACCAATATACCAGGGTAAGTGAAATAGTGTTAACCTTTTCAAATGTGAATACAAAAGTTCAATTGCTAAGCAGAAGTTGTTACAAATAGTAGACCATATTATATTGTCATTGTAGCATTTGACATATTTCATGTTAAGTTGAAAGAAAACAACCCGAAGAAATGTATGTGGGCTGTTTTCACCTCGGTATTTTACACTTAATCTTAAAGTGATAAACTTATGTCTTTTTTTGAAGGAAAAAAATCAAATGAATAGTTTTACCTCCTACTTTTCTGTTATTTTGTTTGATGGCAGGTGTAGATTATAAAAAAACATCATGCTTCTAAACAGCTGCTAGTACTTCTTTTTCTAATGAATATTTGTTTTTTTTTATTAAAGGAAAAACTCCACGAGATACAGGAGAGTGACGGCGCCAAGAAACGTCCTGAATTTTTGTCTACAACATATGATAAGTATGTTTTGTTTTGTAAATTATGTAAATACAAACTGATCTAGTTAAGGATATATATTCATTCAGTTCAATGATGTCCAAATAATGAAAAGCCTGCATACAGCATAATATTGGAAAACAAGCTAATTGGTTTCCTACCTTGACATTTAAAGGGACCCAATTTTGTTGTTTTGTTCATGAACAGTGGCCTCATACTACATTAAACACTGTGTTAAATTCTGCTGTAAGATTTAATAATCAAAATCTGAGAAGCTTGAAGGTAGTTAATGCCAGTCTTCATTTGTTGAAATTTAAAGAAAAATATGAATGGTATCTCAAACAATAAAAATCCTATTTTAGTTCTGAAGGAATTTGGGATCCAGAAAAATGGTGTAAGTCTTTGCATCCTGAAGGTCGTGAAGGTTCACCTAATACCCTTGGTGAGATAAGAGAACGCAAACGTCCAATAGATCTAGATCGAGACTTGTTGAGAAGAAAAGTTTCAGGTAAGTTGTCAACTCCAAACAGAAAGAGGGATGGTTTTAAATGTCAAGTATAGACAAGGCAAAACTGCTTGGGAGTTGAATATTTTATAACAATTTTTTAAGTGAACAACTGTTGATGCTTGGCACAAATTTCTAGCTTCTCACCTTTTGGAAAGTCATCAACAACTTTTTCACCTGTATTTATAGCTGATCCTAAAGAGCGTTTGAAAGAAGAACAAGATGGAATAGTTCTAAGTCCCCAGAGAAGAAGTTTTGGTACAGGATGTCATGTGACCCAGAATAGTAGTTTAATAAGACAATCTAGTACAACATCAGACTATAATGATGATCGAGAAAGGTTTGTATTAGTTTCTAGTGGTCATTAGCATAATAACTTAAGTGCTTGTGAAGGTAAATACATACTTGTTTGTCAGCATTGATCTCATCGTCACCCATGATCTCATTGGCAGCCATGATCTCATTGGCAGCCATGGTCTCATCTGAAAATGATTGTTCAATGGACAGTCATCAATTATTTGAAGTCTGTGGAACCATTTTTTTTAAGTTGACAGATCTAGTCTAAGATTAGCACGAGGTGTTCAGTAAGGTATGATGATAACATGCCTTAATAGCTGCCACAAGTATTTCACCTTTACTATTTTATTGATAGATGATATTGTTTGTTGTATTAGTAGAGGTGATCGGCGAGGTGAAAGACGTATTGGTAGTGGTAGAATACAGATTGATAGAGATCAAGGGAGAGATTATCGTAGTAGTAATAGTAATACTGGTGGTAATAGGTTTGATAGAGATGATGATAGACATGAAGACAGACCTGTAGTAGACAGAAGATTTGATAGGAACGAAAGATTTAGGAGAGATTTTGATGATAGGGTACGTCAATTGATGTCTTGAATACATGTAGAATACAATGCAGAATTATTTATCGTTGGTGACCGCTTGAAACCTCGTATATGCCATATTTGGTCATTTTGACTTTTTGGTACCGTTTGAAAGCTCGTTAAAGCACGGATCTTGTGATCAAATCCTCTTATTCTTAGCTTGATTGTAAATAACTCAAAAAGCGCTAATTAAATAACACGTATATAAACAGTTAGATTTAAAACCTCGTAAAATATATTATTATACGAGGTTCAATGTTCCTTTTCAGCGGATGAAAATGAAAAATCTCGTATACTGTATTATTATACGAGTTTTTGGTTCAATAGGCCCGAGATCTTGAATTGTTATACGAGGTTTATTATTTTTTTGCGTTTTTCTCGAAAAGTAATTCTGCGTGATATATCGTTATACGAGGTTTCAAGCGGTCACCCACGATATTATAAATTCAGATCTTTAGTAGTACTGGTATGATCTTCTTTAAATGCCATGAAACATAAGCTGTATGTATTTAACAGAATTATTGCCCTTGATACCAGAATAGGTCATAGTAATAAGAACTTCAATTTTACACTGAATTTAGTATGTTTATGTATAAACTATCCATGCCCAAGTATTGACCTTGACTAACTTACTAAGTAATTTCTAACTCTTCTGTGACCATATGTTACTGTTCTTTACAAACTGTGTTGATATTATTCTTCTTCATCAAATGCAATATTTTTCTTTAAAGGTCCTCTATGAATGACTAAAGTTTTGTCAAATAGTTGAAAGTTCAAAATTTATTTTTTCAGAGAGATTTCCGAGATTCCAGGGATATTCGAGAAACTAGGGATAACAGAGATGTTAGGGACCCCAGAGATTCCAGAGACTCAAGAGATATCCGAGATAGAGGTGATATCAGAGATCGTGATCCCAGAAATCTTCATAGTCGTGATCTTCGCAACGATTCTCACCGAGGTTACAACAATCGTGATAGGGATCATCATCGCTATAGTAGCTCACGGAGGAATCATCAACCGGAAGAGGAACCAGAGTGGTTTACCGCTGGACCAACTAGCAAGTCTGACACTATTGAACTGCAGGGATTTGAAAAAGAGGAGCCAAAACCCAAAGATGAGAAGCCAAAGATTGAAGAACCGAAACCAAAGAGAGAAAGGAAGTCACCATCTGTAGAGAAAGGTCATAGGAAATCACACAAGTCACCATCTAGGGAAGTGGAATATCTTGCTCCAGAGAAAGCCAAGGGTAAGAAATTAAGCTAGACATTAATTATTTGGTAAAGAGGAAAGAGAAATCTTACATTTGAAATAATTTTCAAATGCTGATAAAAATGTGAATTTATGAAAACTCTGTTTTTGATTGTCAGGAAGTAATTTTGGAGATAGAAATGGTAGTTTAGAGACAAATGAATCCAGTTCACCAGAAGCAGCTGAAACCAGACCTTCACCCAATTCAGCTGCATTGTTTGATTTTGATCAGTTTTTAAATGGTGGAATTCCAGGATTTCAGGTATGTTGTAATAGAATTCATTAATGAAGAAAATATATTATTTTTGAGGGTAGGTCTAAAATAAGTAAATAACCATTCACAACTCAATAACATGAGAGTTGAATTCGACACTTTTCTTATTTGCAACCATATGATGGCATAGTGTGAGGGCAACTCTCAGTAGAATATGTTTTATTGTAAAAAGACATTGCCCTAAAAATTTTGACTTTTATTTGCGATTTAGCTTATATTGTTTGAAGAACTTGACACAAGCACAAGAAAATTTCATACAATAGATCAACGTATATTGATATATTTCAGGATGAACTAGCTGGGTTAGAAAGAGATTCTGGGAGTAGATTTAGTCAGTGGTTTGGTCAATCACGTGGCAGTAAAAATAACAGTCGAAGATCTTCTATTAATGATGAACTTAATTTTGAGTATCTTAATGGTAGGTATTAACACTTGCTCATTTAATCTATTTCTCTAAGCGTTTTAAAGAATGTTATAAAAGAAACATAAGGGATATATATTCTTGTAATTCACATTACCTTTATCAGAAAGAAAATCTGTGAAAAACTTTTAGTTTATATGCCTTATAGATAGAGAAGTATCAGTACCGGTATATCTAAGATTGAATTGTAGTCCAATGATATTTTGTATCTTTCACTATGAAATACTGCCAGCACTGCTCCAGTGCTATTAGGCTTACAGCTCTAGTTATAGTTTCTTTTGCTCATGATCTGTTAATATTTTACAGAAATATTGAAGGAGTCAAAGAGTCCAGTTATACCGTCACCGACCCCACCTCCAATATCAAATATATTTGATAAACCATCTATGTATGGTAATTATAATAACATGGAAGATAAAAACCCAAGTTTAGAAACTGTTCTACATCATAAAAATATGGCTGCCATGAACCCCAATATGAATCCAAATATGAATCCCAACATTAACCATATGTTTATGAATAATCCACCAATTATAGACAAATCTAATGCTTGTAAGTACTCAATTTTTTTTTTTTTTTTTTTTTTTATTAACTTTCACCTTACTCTCCTATAGAAGCACTTGCCAAGGTGGAAATGTTTGATTGCTTTCTAGACAAAAGCTCATCTCATGCTGCTTACACATATTTTGGATATAATAAAAAAAAGCCTTGTTTACAGCTGATTGATAACTTAGTCATCATTACCAAAATTCATGCTCACAAGGATACGTCTCTTATGAAATCAAGTAGAGCCTGTTCTAAAATAAGCTGTTAATTCTTGATATTCCTATTATACTGGAATTTTGTTTCTATTTGTAGCTATTTCGAACAATCATGGAGGGATGTTTTGTCCTCAGGATGCTGAAGCACATTTAAAAGCCATGTTATTTGGTGGTCGTAAAGATTCTGCATCATCAAGTGGCACTGCTAGTCCAGCAGGTAGATTCCTTTCAAATTACTTTGTTAGCATCATGTCTTTAAAATGTCCTGCACTTGGTGCATTTTCTTACATTCTGGAATAAATTTGTGCTTGTGGGGCTTCAATTTTAGTTTCTAAGTAACTCAAAGATATACAAAGATATATACCTCTTCAATTGACAATTTAATCCTACAAAGTTTCACAGCTACTCTTTGAAACCTATCAGTTATTTTCTAACCAGTTGAGTATACTCTAGTACTGTCAGAAAATGATTGTGTTGACGCTTTCAGAAGGTATTACCTATTTCTGAATTGCACACCATGAGATGATCCATCTTTTTAACTAGTTTCTCTTCATGAAAGGATCTGATTCTCCATGTAAAAGATATTTTTATTTTGTAGGTGGTGGTAGACTGAAAACAGTTGCTGAATTGGAGGCTGGGTTCCATCAGAATTCTCCTGGTTCTAGTGCCAGGATGAGTCCAGTAGCACAACAACTTCAGAATAATAATAAATCCGATGAGGGAGATCTAACAGCTTTTAATAAATTACTGAGTTTAATAACTGCTGGTGCTTCTTCCGGTTCCCCTTCACCACTCAATTCACAGGTATTTCATTATCACTATTTACCATAAACATCCTATTGGTTGGTAGTATTAGGGTGTTGATTTCCCTGATCTGTTGAAATCAGAGCTGTTGAATTGACTGTTGATAAGAACTTTTATTTGTGAATAGCGAATATATTCACACGAAAATTTAACTGTTTCAGATGATGGGTCAAGAACCACGTCAGATGTCACCTGTCACCAATAATCCTGGCGCTATGTCACAATTAGCTAACCTACAATCTAGTCAATCCACCAAGTTTATGGAGGTCAGAAATTAGAATTTTCCTCAAATATTTGGACGAAATAGAAAAGTGATTAAAATTGGTTTTATATAGAGATTTAAAATTAGGTAAAACAGGACTAAATATACGTTTTTTCTCATTTTAATAGAGATTCTCATTTCATCTTTTGTAGGCTGTAATGAGGAATCGTGAACAGCAGATGCATCTTCAGCAACAAGCTATGAATCAGATGAGGATGCATCAACAACCACCTCCTCAACCCTCACCTTTACCACTACCACAACACATGATGACACCACAACAGCAACAACAACAGCAACAGCAACAAATGTCTGGTGGTATTCGTGGTAATATGCCTCAAGATCGCATGTTGTCTAACTTCATTCAACAGAATCCAACTATTATAACTAAACCTCCGTCCCCAGCTATAAATCAGATTCCCAATATAGTTCACAGTACTTCCACACCACGTATTGGACCATCACCAACCCCTATGATGGCTAATAATTTACTACACAAACAACATCAACAACCTACAGCTCCTCGTATTCCTTCTCCTATCAGTAAGTTACTTGTCTCAGATCTCTGATTGCTCTCAATGTATTTCATAAATTTTTGTTGATAGTATTTGCAGGTTGTTCACATCCAGATTCATTTCATAACAAACATGGAGAGTCTGTTTTAATGATAGGTAGACTAAAAATTTATTGGAATACAAGCATCATGCTTTTTCTTAACATTAACTGAGTGGACTGCTAATGGTCATAATTAAAACATCTTTGTATGGTTTTATTTTGTTGAAAGTTAAGTTATTTTCAAAATACAAATGGCAAACTTAACTTTCAATTGATAGTTTGGTGTCTGACAAAATATCAAGATTTAAAGGGACCTCCGCAAGTTTTGTTTTAGCTCAAATTTGTTCAAACTATACACCATAATGTAGGAAAATGTGTCATTTAACGTATCTGAAAGTTTTAATCAAAAAAAAATCCAGACGTTAATTTTTTTAAAGGTAAAACTGTTTTGAAATATTTACCTAAGGTTACGTAAACTTTTTAAGTTGTATGCCTTTAGGAAGCTGTTAGAAAAATACTGTACAGATTTAAGTGAAATAATTGTAGAGAGATATGTCCCCTACGTATTTTAAAGGTTTCAACTAATAATATCGAGCCATTTTAAAGCCAAACACCAAAACTAGGTCAAACTGCTAAATTTCTAGACCCTTTTGAAAAAAAGTCAGTTTCATCATGAGGTTACATAAAT